AATAGAGGCAAATGAAGAACTATATCCAGGATGTAAGAAGTTTAGCTAAACTGTCCTTTTTGACTGCATATGTATCGTACAAAATGCATTTTCAAATGGTCAAATGAATCTTTTAATGCTTTGCTTGGACTATTGAAGGATGCTCTGCCTGAAGGGGAAAAATTGCCTCCTTCTTTCTATGAGACCAAAAAGATAGTTGAAGGCTTGGGCTTAAAGTATGAAAAAATCCATGCTTGTCCCAACGATTGCAAACTTTTTAGGAAAGAGTTTGCTAAATAAGAATGTCAATGAATGCAAAGTTTGTGGGGCTTCTAGATGGAAAAATGATGCTAGAAAAATTCCAGCCAAGGTCCTAAGGTATTTTCCTTTAAAACCGAGGCTACGGAGATTGTTTATGTCATCAGAAACTTCTAAAGCAATGCGATGGCATCATGAATAGCGCAACAAAGATGGAGTTCTACGACATCCTGCAGATTCTGAAGCTTGGAAAAATTTTGATAATGGGTTTAATCCATTTGGCACAATGCGAACTGTTCACAGTACATGGCCAGTGATTTTAGTGCCATATAATTTTCCACCATGGATGTGCATGAAACAAGAGTTCTTCATTCTGTCCTTACTTATTCCTGGACCAAAACCGCCTGGAAATAATATTGATGTCTTTTTGCAACCTCTAATAGAAGAGTTAAATGAATTATGGGATGTTGGTGTAGGAACGTACGATGCCTCTACTAAGGAGATACTTCAAATGCGAGCAGCTCTCATGTGGACGATAAATGATTTTCCAGCATATGGTACTCTCTCTGGATGGTGCACTTATGGTAGATTTGCATGCCCTTCTTGTAATATAAACACTCAATCTAGAAGGCTCAAACATGGCAGAAAGTTTTGTTACATGGGGCATCGTCGCTTCTTGAAGTCAGGAAACAAATATCGGAATGATGCAAAATCATTTGATGGGACTAAAGAAACAAGATCTGCACCTTGTCCAGTAATTGGTTCAGTAGTGCTGAATCAAGTTAAAGATATAAAATTTACTCTTGGCCAGTCAAGTGAAGCGGTAAATGGGGTGATGAAAAACACATTGTCACGCCCCAACCTCGGGAGGCGCGACCGGCGCTCAATCGAGTGAACCCCAACTAAGCCAGCCTTATTAATACCATTCGACCCCAAATCAATACGGTTAAGGGAACCACGCTATCATTAATTTAGACAGTAGTAAAATTTGAACATTCACATCGTTAAACCATTTTCATGCCACAAACCTTAAACCATGGTTAAGTTTTCAATATTTCATACAGTTATAGTTTAGAAGAGCTAGAGTACAAAGTTACAACATGGTTCATTGACCTATCCAATACCCGTACATAACTCACACAAACGTCTACGGAGCCTCTAAGGATACAAAAGACAATAATGAAAACGCCGGCAACAAGGCCTCGGCTATACCTCAAAAGTGGATATCTATAACAAAAGATGTACAAAAAAAACCCTAGAAGGAGAAATGGGCTCACCCAGACTTTGAGAGAAGGATGCTCCATTATGCGCGATTGGCACTATCCGCTATGGAGCCACCTACATTCATTTAAAAATGTAGCGCCCCCGGCAAAAGGGGTGTTAGTACCATGGAATAGTACTAGTATGTATAACTAAACACCATCCTGTTAGAAAGAACAACCATACAAGAGTAAAGAGGAAATCATAAAGACAACAAAGTTTCAGATAAGCACCGCATCAACAATACAAGAGGTTCACATAGTTTTCACAAAGTTTCTGAAATTTTAGATTGGAGCATCCCACATTGTTGCCTCATTATCCACATTGCCACCGCTTTCTTGAGCGGAGTCCGATCACGGCCCGATCGGCTAAGCCATCTTCCCGAGACGTTACCATTATTTCATTCTCACTTTCCAGTTCCAATCATCAATACATTACCACCACGTGTGTATAACATGGGGTCCGATCACGGCCCGATCGGCTAAGCCGTCTCCCCGAGACGTTACCATTTTCCGTTAATCATCTCACTCCAATCTTTGGTTACACATGTATTAGCTCACCGGCACTTGGGGCCACAATTACCCCATTCCATAACTCACGTTTCACATTATTCCCAATTTTACCATTTACTTTGCCACTTAAGACCGTAGACACATACAAAAGCAGTTTAGGTTATAAGCATAGAGAGGAATTCATCTAGTTTGGCATATTAGTCCCAAAGTAATCTTAGCATGGCATTTAGGCATTTAGCACATAGATCATGTTCTCCATACATCCTCCATTTACAAAGAAAAAACACATTAAACACATGAAGAGGTACCTTCCACATACATTTTCACAACGTCAATTCATCTAACATAACAAGTACTGCATCAATCAAGTTTAGAACTTCCAACGTTTGCACGGGCACCATGGAAGCTCAATTTCTAAGAGGAAGGGGGTTTTAGCCATACATACCTCCATGGAGCTTTCCTTAAATCTTTATAATAAATTCCGGGGCCCTTAGCACTTCAATCTATTTTATAAGAATTGCAAATTGAACTAAGAATTAGAGACATGATTAGGTTTCTAGTTTATTCGAGCATATTACCAAGCACTAAGTGTGCACAGTGATTCTAGGACCCTTTTGTGAGAGAATTTCATCATCCTATATCACAATTGTTATCTTTTTGGTTCACAACCTCCCCATACCCCATCATCTTTTATGCATGCAAGATCATTAACTCTTATGCCCATGAACTCACTTGCTAATCACTTACCTTAATAGAAATTTCGAAATTATAAGTGAAGATACAAGTTCTTACCTCTTAGGGTGAAGACCTAGCAATTTCACTTGACAATCTTCAAGGATTTAGGGCAAGGGTTGAGTGGGGACTTGATGAAGATCACTCCCTCTCTCTCTAGAACCTCCCCTCTCACTCTATATGCAGTGAAAATAACAGATAAATGGTCTAATGGGGTGTTTTTAATGGAATGGGGTCGGGTTTTAAAAGTTAAAAAATAGGAGCCCTGACACGATCTGCGATCGCATATGCGATCGCATAATGGACATGCAGCCCGCAGAATGGACCGCAAAAATAGCCCCAAAACCTGAACACACTAACTGGGTATGAGACAGAAATGCGGTCCGCATACCTGTTCTGCGGTCGCATAATGCACTACAGAACTGCCCTTTACAAATTCCAAGGGAATTATGCGGTGACTATGTGGCCCGCATAGTGATTGTGCGATTGCATAACTGGCCGAATAGTTGACCTCAAATTAACCATCACACTGCCTCACTTTGCGACGACTATGCGGTCCGCATAGCTATTCTGCGATCGCATAATGGACCGCAGAAATGCACTTTTCTAGAAAATATTATTCCTTCACTTTTTAATGCATAGATCAGTCTAAAGGGTCCGAACCGCGGCACACATATACCTAACTTGGCACTACGATCTTTCGGGTTTTGAGTAGAGATTTTCACGGGGCCTTACACACATGGAAAAAGAGAAGTATTTTTTTTATCTTCCTTATTGGAAATTTAACTTGGTGCGTCATAATCTTGATGTGATGCACATAGAAAAGAACGTGTGTGATAACATAATTTATACATTATTGGATCTTGGTAAAAAGTCTAAAGACAACATAGAGGCTCGATTGGACTTGAAGGAGATGAAAATAAGACCAAGCTTTTGGCCTCAGTACCGAGCTAGTGGTAGAGCATATCTTCCTCCTACTTTTTTCACAATGTCTCCGATGGAAAAGGAGTTATTTTATGAAGTACTACAAAATGCCAAGTTTCCAGATGGCTATGCGTCTAATATCTTATGTTGCTTTCGCAAACGAAAGATATCTGGGCTAAAAACTCATGATTGTCATGTTTTAATCAAGAACTTCTTCCTCTTACCTTGCGGAGATCGGTAGATAAAAGAGTTAGTTCAATTTTAATTGAACTATGCACATTCTTTCGTGTTCTGTGTAGCAAAGAGATAAAACTAGAAGAGTTAAAGTTACTTGAAGAAAAAATTCCAGAAACATTGTCTACTATGGAGAAACTCTTCCTCCCAGGATTCTTTACTATTATGACACACTTGGTAATTCACTTGGCAATTGAGGCTAAACACGCGGGGATAGTAAATTATCACTGGATGTACCCAATTGAGAGGTATGAAGAATATCACTGAATCTTTATCTTATGTCTTTAGTTGTTAAATATTCTAATATCAAACTAATAATATTACTTTGTTCCATAGGTTTTTGGGTACTTTAAAATCATATGTTCGTAATCGTGCATATCCAGAAGGTTCAATAGCAGAAGCATACATAGAAAATGAGTGTATGGCATTTTGCTCACGATATTTGGAGGGTGGAGATTCAAGGTCTTATTGTTCAAGAAAATGCAGTGATGAGATTGAGCATGAGACTAGTAAAGAAGAATGTCTTTTTCGTACTGTTGGGAAGTCGTACGGTGGAGTAGATGTATTTGAGTTGGATGAGAAAACATGGTTGCAAGCACATCGTCATGTGCTTTTCAATTGCGAGTCAGAAGTCGTCGAGAATTATAAAAAGTAAGTGTTATATCTATTATTTAATATATGTATATTACTTATTTGTTAACAAAATTGATATATGCGAGTTACATGAATAGGGAAAATATTGCTGAAATCAAAAGAGCACATCGTAAGCGTCGTTTGACACAACATCAACTTGACCGTGTGCATTTCGGTACATTCCATGAGTGGTTCAAAGAGCAAGTAAGTAGTAGGACTAAGTCATTGGTTACATTAAATTATTGTCCTTGTACAGATATCCACATTTACAATTGTATCTTTTATTTGGTTAGGTAAAGGAGTTGGAAGCTACATCTAACATCTTAAAGGATGTTAAAGTCCTTGCACGAGGGTCGAGTTACATTGAAAAAAGATTTAGTGTGTTCGATATAAATAACGTCTATCAATTCTGAACGAAAAAAAGTGAAGAGTTCAAGGTGACACAAAATAGTGGTGTTATGGTCGTTTCAAAGACTGAAAGTTATGCAAGCACAAGTGTAATGCTCCAAAATCTGCAAATATCACATATTATGGCAGATTGAATGATATTGTGGAGTTAAACTACTATGAAAAATTTAAGGTTATCTTATTTAAGTGTGATTGGGTTGATGTAACCAAAGGTAGAGGAATTAAGGAAGACGACTTGGGTTTCACACTTGTGAATTTCTCACACCTGACAGACTCTGGCGATCGAGAACGTCATGAGCCCTTTATTTTTACAGAACAAGCTCAACAAGTAATATTTGTGCAAGATCCTCAATATCATGAATGGTTTGTCCCTAGGTTAATTAAACCTCGAGACATTTTTAATATTGAGTCATCAACGCAAAGTGATGCCACTGACTTAGCTCTTTTAGAAAATGCTCGTGTTCTAGAAGATGAGTATAATGATTGGGTAAGAAGTGGTATCGATGGAATAGTAATTGATACAAACGTACATTCTCAAGCTTCTCTAAATGATGGTGAAGTTAATGTTGAGGGAGGAAATGACATATAAAATTAATGTGATTCTGAATAAGTTAGGTGGAACTTATAGAATATTTTTTTTGCAAGTGTTATTTAAGAACTTCTAAGGGTGTTATTGTTTTGCTTCAGAAGTTTGATATTGGATGTTTGAGTGAATTCGTTGTGCTTTCTTTTACTTATATTTTGCTTATTATATCCATTTAAATGTGATATGCTAAGGTGGTATTATCACTTGATAATTATTTTATTAGTGCATCAATAACTCTTATCTCTAAAACAACCTTTTTCACAAGGCTTTGTTTGTGTGCACGAGTTGTTAATGTTTTTCACAGCTTGAGAATAGGACGGTGCTTCCTCCTGTTTTGCACGTGACCTGCTGATCTCTTGGAGTTAATCTGGTACTAATATAGCTTAATACAACTAGATAATTTTTTTATTTTTGGAGAAAGAACTATGCGAACTAGAGGTCGCAACCAACTTGTAATTGAACAAGACGACGATGAAGATGTGCGACCTTATATTGAGCATTTGATGAATGCTCAAAACCATACTGCGGCCCAGCCTTATATTGAGCAGTTGATGGATAATAGGAACAACTCTGAAGACCGGGCACATGATGATCAATCTAATGAGTTGAACAGTTCTGCTGGTGGCACTGAAGTTCAACATAATGATGATGAATCAGGTAACACTTTTCTCTGAAATTATTTTCAAATCTTAATTGTGTGTTAATCTAACTAGTTTATATAGTGTAATTAGCAACCGTAGTTTTCTGCAATTTCTATTGTGATATTGAACTGGTTATATGGATATGCCTCTTCTGCAATTCTTCTAAGATCTAGTATTGTTGTTAAAGATGCCGTGCATCCCATAACCATAATAGCTTCTCTTGCAACTGTAATGTTATATAATCTGTATATACTCTATAATGTTGGAAAACCGAGATTAGGCCCAAGAAAAAGACAGAATGCCGAGGTAGAACGTCTATCATAATAGCTTGTGTTGCAGCTGTAATGTTTAGAATCTGTAACAGATTTGCCTGAAGCATCACAAACATGTCCAGTCCTTGGATTTGTAGCTGTTTTCTTTGAAGTATCAAGTACATGTCCAACACCTTTATCCATAGGAGTTTGTCCAGCTGCTTTTCTCTCACTATGATCATCCTTAATCCCTTCAGTAACACCAACATATCGCGCTGATGTAGTAGTTTGTCCAGCTTTGTCATGACTGTCACACATCTGCCTAGCTTGTACAACTGGATTTATAGCATTGTAAATTCTCGCTAAGGCTATAGAAGCAGGAACATTATGTGTAGGTTTAGCCTGACCCTTCACAAGCATTAATTCATCACCTCCAGTCCCTTTCGATTTAGGATTAGTAACACTTATCGCATCACCATTCCCAGGTGCTGCAGGATTCAAAACACCAGCTACTACAGCAGTAGTGATGGATTCAACTTCCTTAGGCTGCAACTGCACCAGCTGCTGTTGATCATGAGTCACCTCTGATGCTTTCACAACATTAGTAACCACAGGAGTATTAGGATCAATAGTAGCACCTGATGCGATCTTAAAATTTCTAACAATACTAGATTCATCCTCCACTTGATTAGTGATCGCATTAGTATTTTCCTTAGGTTTCACATGAACATTATCACCTTCAGTAACATCTTTGTCAGCACTCTTCTAAGAATTATCTTCTGAAATTGGCCTCGAGTTTTCTTTCTATATCAAACTATAAGTCAATAACTATGATAATATTAGTTCAGAGGCAACTGCAACCCGTTGAATCCCCTTCTTTCTCAATCTAAACTTGATCAATGGTATCTAACTGCTTACTACATTGACTCTATTCATTCTGTACTTAAGTCATATTGCAATAAGATTTTGAAACTTATTTCTGCTGAATAAGGTTTAGTTAAGGTTTTTACTGTCTGGTTGAAGACGAACATCATTGTTTGAACTGGACGTGGCAGTAGAAATACTACTATTATCAGAACCTGAATTACAGATGCATTCTTTTAAGCATCTAGAAGTACAAGTGCAAAGATTTTGAGAAGGTTCAATCAAGCAGAATACAAAGCATTTTGAGTAGAAATCCTTAAAGTTAGTTAAGGAGGCATTTGACTCGCCTACAAAAACAACTAATATCAAAATAAGTGCCCTTAACTTACTAAACTCCATCTTTTCTTTCACTCTTTTTCCAGAACACAAACTTCTTGTCCTATGGAAAACCTAAAAGTGTGCTTATACAGAACAGTAATAGCCAGTATTCACAAGTGGCAAACATATATACATATATATAGTATTACCTTAGGGTTTAGTAAGTCAAATAGACCACTTACTACTGACAATTTGTGGAAGATTATGGCCATTTTTAAGATAGCAAACATGAAATAACACATTAGGCAACCTCTAAGATGCAAGGTTATTTTGCATGAATAAGCTCATTGATTCAACAGATGTCAAGCAGCCATTTTATGTCTGAGCTTGTAATTAGTTTGTGGCTGATATCAAGCACTATTAGTTTGTGGCTGATATCAAGCACTCCTTTTTTATTCTGAAGGTCTTGGCTGCTGATTTCAGTAGCACATTCCAGTAGCACGAGATTTATTCCACTTGTCATCAGATTCGTACATCAATCCGAAGAGCAGTACTTGGTTTCTGTAAAACATTTACATTAAGTAGCTTTCCAGTAGCTTCTCTCAGGCTTGGAATTTGAGAACTAATCCAAAATAGAGTGACTTTGAAGGCATATATACATTTACTAATTAATTGAAGATAAACACTTACCTTTTGGTATACATTTAGTGTTGACCATATATACTTTTGCCATTTGATGACCTTTAAATCTTCCATTCCAGGTAATTCGGAGCCAAGAAAGGTTCGTGGGCCTACTTTACTGAAAGACATTTGGAAACTTCCTCCAGAAAAGGTAGTTGATGTGCCGTTTAATGATCGTAACCAAGTTATTGGGGAAAAAGGTCGAAAGCTCGCTAGCTTTCTAGGAATTATTGCGAGAACTCCAGAACTAACACCTCTACATGTAGATGATTGGAGAAATTTTGACAAGGAGGAAAAGAAGAAATTGGTGGATTTTGTGAGGGTATGTAGTAGTAGCAGTAGTATTAGTAGTAGTAGTAGTAGTAGTAGTAGTAGTAGTTTTTGTTGTTGTAATTATTATTATTATTACTACTACTATTATTATTATTGTTATTGTTATTATTATTATTATTATTATATGAACGAGTTCAATCTTTTATACATGATATTTTCTTCTAAATGTTGGATTTATTTTTTTAGAAGAAGTTCTCTATCCCAAGAAGGGGAAAAGCTTATGTCCTAAATTCACTAGGAAAGAAATGGAAAGATTACAAGTGTGATTTAAAAGGTGAGTATCTGCCAAAATATAAGACTAAAGACGCTTTGCTGAAAAATATACCAAGTCGCATATCGAGGGATCAATGGAGTGGTCTTGTCTCCTATTGGCTTTCAGATAAAGCTAAGGTATTAACAAATCATTAAAACACCTCTACTTGATTATTTTCAGTGTTTTAATTTTAGTTATGCTCAGTTTTTCTTTATAATTTATAAGATATCATTTTAATATTTCAATGACAGAGGCGTACCCAAGCAAATAGAAACAATAGGGCCAATCAAAAGATGCCTCACACAGGAGGATCCAAAAGTATTGCTACCTTGATGGATGAGCAGGTAAACTTGTAAAAATTACTAATTATAATATTTTAAAATCCTTTTTTTTTCTACGCATATCTGACATCAATTTTATTGTATTAGGCTGTAAATGGGGTAGAACCTACACGAGCACAAATTTTCTTATTAACTCATAAACAATATAAGGATGGTAGACCACTGGATGTTGATTCTGCCAATGCAATCGTAAGATTTCTTTTTTTATTTAAATTTTTGAATTGGGAAATAGTTTAGAAAAAAACATAAAAGAGAATAAATGAATTCCAACTTGGATTTATGTATTCTGTGGTCAGGAAATGATAAATGAAAGGATGAATAATAGTGAGATATCTACTGATCAACCTCCTCGCAGTGTTGCTTGGGAAGGCGATGTGTATTCCGAGGTGTTCGGAAATGACAAAAGTGGGTATACTCGTGGTTTAGGACTTGGTCCAACTCCTTCTGTGCTATGGGGTAGTAGATCTTCCTTAGGAAATATTGTTGCAGAGGATTCATCTAATGAGGCCGTACAAAGGTTAACACAGGAGATAACCGAGTTAAAGGATAAACACAATGAAGAAATGAATCTGATGAAACAAAATCAAGAGAAGATGCAATAAGAATTACTCCAAATGAGACAATTGATGCGCAAATATGTTTCTAATGAATCTATGCCTCAAAATATCAATGGCACCTCAAGTGAAGAGGTAACTCGATTTTCAAAAGTTATAGGCATTCTTAATGAAGTTTCAATCCTATAAAAGAATTGTAATCTAATGTGTTAATATTTATTAGGTCCTTGACGCCAACAGTGGCCATGAACGAGTACCACAAACATCAAAGATACCTAGTGTTGCTGAAAATACATCACTGTCTCAAGGTACTACTCATCTTTATCCTTCGGTGCTACTATTTGAGTTTTCTATTGTTTAAATTTTCCTCCAATTTTTTTATTTAGAATCTGATTTCATGTAAACTTGCAAGAAAGGGAAACAAGATATAGTTTCGACTTACATGCTTCCATAATCCGATTGTAACTTTATCGGTATTAGTACCATTTACATAAGAGAGCAATAGATAATGAAATAGCAGTCATGAAACTGAGGTCTTCATAGACAATTTGAAGCACCGGCATGTTCTGTAAAGTAACACGCACGACAGATGACTTTCTAGCGAGTATAATGCTACGATATATTACAAACAGGGTAGCTGCTTCTTTATCCTAGTTTAAAAACTGAAACTTATACTCGATCGTTTGAGTTAATTGAGTTGAATTCGTAAGTTTGGCTCGAGTGCCTTATTCGAATTGTGATTCCCCTGCGACTTGTTTGAGTTGATGAACTTATCCTTGTTTGTTTTCGCTTGTTTGAATTGAATGTGATTGAGCTGAAATCTAGTGTCTATTGCTGCTGAAGTTCTATTTGGTCTTTTCTGCAAATTTTGAGTTGACCTGCACACTGAAAGCATTTCTTATCATGCTAAGGGATTCCTTAATATGAACTTGTAAATATGCAATAAATTATGAATAAATTGCTAAGCAACAAACCATCTGCTGCAAGCTATCTTGAGCTTCAACTATTGCAGCTTCTGGTTTTGTTGAACTGTATAATCTGCTATGGAAATAGAAATATTTGAATCGTGGAAAACATCTCTTTGAACAGTATGAAAATGAACATCCATCGACTTCATTGGTGGATCAATGGTTTACCAGAAGGTGAGTTTTGGACAAAACATACCAGAATGTATGCCCCTTTGAAACAAATCAATTGGCCTCATGTGATCAACTATTTGTCGTGCCTAGTTTCAGGTCTCTCATTCACACCGGTTCAGCAAATCAACCACCTCTTCTATGGTGATATGAACTATTGCAGCTCTGGTTCTAGATCTTTGTTTCATCAGAATGTTGGTTGAACTTTTGATCATAACAATACACCCACTCTGGCCCCCACCTCAAAATATTTATTCGATAATTATGATTCAACGTTTTAGGTGAAACTGTGATGACCCAGTCGGATGTGACCTTTCCGTAAGTCGGATGTGAACAGCTATATATAGTAGAAAATCGCTGGAGGACAATAGGAACTAGACTAAGAGAAGCACCTGCTGTGGGAAATGAAAAGGGCTCACACCCTCCTAGTTGGGTCAATGGAGCCAAATTATTATAACATGTTATGTTAAAAACAATTAATGATCCTAGAACCAACCTTAATGTGTTTGAATTGCAATCCTCTAATAGAAACACCAAATATTCCTACCAACTTGTTCCATATATGTCACGACCCAATTTCCATCCCGGTCGTGATGGCGCCTCTCGTGAAGACAAGGCCAGCCAACTAACCTAAATCGTCTCTTTAACAATTATTTCTATATAAATGAATAGATAAATACAGCTTAACGACAATAATAACCAGTATTTACAACCCCACACAACCCGACCGTGGTGTCACAAGTCACGAGCATCTAAAGAAGTCTGAACACGACTACAGGGTCAATAATATACAAAATAAAATCTGGAATCAAAAGACGAAGTCCGGTGCCGCGAATGCTGGCGGTCACCTTGCTCAGCTACAATGGTAATACCTTCGTTTAGCTACTAACCCGCTACCGGGTGAACAATACCTGCAACTGCACACGAGGTGCAGGGAGTAAAGTGAGTACTCCAACTCAGTGAGCAATAAAAGTAAATAATAACTGAGCGGTAAGAAATCACGTAAAAGCACTCCATCAAGCTGTATAGGACAGTGCAAATCTTTGAGAAAAACAGTGAGACCATAAAAATCCTTTAGAAAATATCTGGGCTCAGTTAAAACCTCTTTTGAAAATATACTTCCAACAGTTAAGCAAATGAATGCGAAATCAGATAGTGCAAGTCAGCACATAAGTCAGCCCCTCGGGCACAGCACTCCACAAACAATTAACACCAGGGCGTCTGGTACACGGTGCAAGAAGTAGCATGGATGCCAATGAAATGAGAGTGCTGAATGTCATGACACGTAATACAAACAGGAACTAATGCATGAGTGCAATGCAATGCATATGACCGCTGCAGCGTGCAGCCCGATCCATTTGGGTACCCGCGCTCACTGTGGGGGTTCAGACTCCGGAGGGGCTCCTACAGCCCAAGCACAATATCAATATAACACGCTGCGGCGTGCAACCCGAGCCATCCATATATCCAGAAATCACTATAACACTGCTGCGGCACGCAGCCCGATCCATGCTCAGTCCAGAAATGCACATAAGCCCCTTGGGCAATAATAAAATAGCAGTCCTTAGTTCAAAACGTCAGTAAAATATCATTTAAGTTTTCAAATCATGAAAAATGGCTGAATTTGCAACACATTATTAAAACCCTGGACCGAGATCAAACAACATGCAAAGTAATGCAAAAACAGTGATATCAATCCCTGAAGGATTCAAATAATCGGCACGAAGCCCAAAACATGGCAATCAGCCCAAATCATGATGATAACAAGTAGTTTCAGTCACATGCGTAGTAATTTCATCAATCGGGACGGACCAAATCACAATCCCCAACGGTGCTCTACCCCACGCTCATATCCGGCGTGCAAGTCACCTTAATACAGCACTATGATGTGCAAATCCGGGGTTTCAAACCCTCAGGATATCATTTACAAGTATTACTCACCTCAAACCGGCGAAATCTCAAGCCCGCGACGCCTTTGCCCCTCAAATCAGCCTCCTCGCGCGTCGAATCTAACCAAAATCAGGGCGAATACATCACAATATGCCAATGGGATAATACCTAATCGAAAACAGTCGAAAAATAGCAACAATCTCGAAACTAGCAAAACCCGAGCCCCGGGCCCACTTCTCAAAAAATTACAAAACTCACATTACCGGATTCCTCGTCTCGCCACGAGTTCATACATACCAAGAACTCCCAAATCCGAGCTCAAATGACCTGTCAAATCCCAAATTGAAATATCAAAAACTCAAGCCCTAGTCCATCAATTTTAGGCTTAATTCCCTGAATTTCTAGGTTAATTTCACATAATAGACATGTTTTTTAACTCAAAAATCTTACCTTCAATAAACTCCAGTCGAAACCCTCTTCAATTTCTCCCAAAAAGCTCTCAAGATGCTCAACAATGGAGGAAAATAATACCTAGCTCGGAGGAATTATTTAATAATCAGCCCAGCACTTTCGCTTATGCGGTCCCCATCTCGCTTCTGCGGGACCGCTTCCGCGCTATTCCTTCCGCTCCTGCGGAAATCCCACTCTCGAACCAAACCGCTTCTGCGGTCACAACATCGCATAAGCGATTCCGCTTTTGCGGCTACACCAACGCTTCTGCGGAACCAGGCGCCCAGGCCTCCTCACCGCTTCTGCGGTCAACCCATCGCTTAAGCGGGTCCGCTTCTGCGGTCCAAGACTCGCAGAAGCGAGAATACCAGATATCAGCAACATTTGAAGTCTCCAAGTCCAAATTTCATCCCGCTAGCCATCCGAAATCACCCCGAGACTCCCCGGGACCTCAACCAAAAGCACCAACATGTCTAAACATTATCCAAACTTGTTCCAATCATCACAACACATCAAACAACACTAAAATCATCAATTCTTATCGGATTCAAGCCTAAGTTCTTTTAAAACTTCCGAAACCCGCATTCGATCAAAAACCCAACCAAACAACTTCCGAATGACCTGAAATTTTGCACACACATCACAAATCACATATCGAAGCTACAACAACTCTCGGAATTCCATTCCGACCCTCGGATCAAAATCTCACCTATCAACCGGAATTCACCAAATACTAACTTCGCCAATTCAAGCCTAATTCTACACCGGACCTCCAAAATCAATTCTGATCACACTCCTAAGTCACAAATCACCCCAAACTGCTAACAGAATCACCGGAAATCACATCCGAGCCCTCTAACTCAATAGTCAACATTCGGTTGACTTTTCCAACTTAAGCTTTCCTTAAAGAGACTAAGTGTCTCATTTCTTATCAAAACCAATCCAAATCAACTCTAACACACCACATACCGATAACGAAACATGAAGAAACATGAAATGGGGAAAACGGAGCAATAACACATGAGACGACGGGTCGGGTCGTCACAATATAGCTGCTGTAAAATGGCTTGAGCTAAACTCTACCGATTCCAGTTCTGAGGAAGAAGATGAGCAGCAATGTCATCTTGTCACCAGGTTATTTATTCCAGATTTTGATGTATGAGTTTAAAAACTGAACTTCTACTCGATCGTCTGAGTTAATTGAGTTGAATTCGTAAGTTTGGCTCAAGTTCCTTATTCGAATTGTGATTCCCCTGCTTCTAGTTGAGTATGCACCTGAGAACCATCTGTTTCTGGTTCAGTATGTACCTGAGAACCATCTGCTTTCGTTTCTTGTTTGTATTTTTCTTCCTACTTGTTTTGGTAGCATGAATCCCTTGAGTATCTTGTTCAAGATCACGCAGTTGGTAGTATCTGTCTATTGTTGATGAAGTTCTGACTACTGTCTGCTGGGAACTTGAGGAGTTGACTCAAGTTTGAGACTGCTTTAATCACTGAGATTTTTGGTTTGAAGTCTGTTGTGAACTGAAATTTGAGCTTGATTTTCTGAGTACTTGAAGTCTGTTATGAAAT